TCCGAAACTCACCGGGTTGAGGCCTCGGATGGGGTGGTCTTATACCGAGACCTGTGCATGGCAGCAGAACGTTAAAGAACATGGTGTCCAGGGGAGTAACAAACTTTCTGAAAAAGAAACAAAGAAAGCCTGCGGCTCGAAATTGCGATACGTGGGACTCCCTGAGAGCGAACAGAAAAAGCAGCAGTCTGAGCGGGCCCCACGTTGGAAGCGCCAGTTATGTGGGTCATCCGCCAATATCGCCCGATCAGGCCGAGTTCCATTCGCTCCGAGGATGTTACACGGTAAAGCGCTATCATTAAAGAAATGCTTAATCAGCACTCATAGGTGAGTCCTAGGAGAAGGGCCGACACTGGCTGTGGTCTGCCTCCTTCCCTGGGCTCGCTGGGGCACTACTCTTTCCCGAGGTCGCTGTCCATGGTGTATTCTATACTGTTGCTTTCAGACTTCGATCTCCCTGACGCGCCGTGCCAGTTACGATTCTCGCCCTTCCGTTCTTCCTTCTGTTCTCCTCTTTCTTCTAAAACCTCAAAGACAACTACACGGACACGGACTCGCACATTCGTGTCCCACAAGATTAAGAGCACGCCTCCCTAAACGCCACCACAAAACTCATATTTAGATAAAGGTAACGCGACTACGAGCGCCGAGAACAGACCCTTCCCACAACATCCCGGAAAGCTGAAAGAAGAGCGCAACAAACCCGACACGCAGGCAGCGTCTTCCGCACGTCCTTTCCCACCAGACATAGCGTCGCACCTCAGCGTAACGGATTTAAGAGCCGCCACCCCCGGCGCCACCATCACAAAGCCTGCTAGAAATCAGCTGAAGCTTTCGCTTGATGTCCCCGAATACGCAGGTTGCTGGGACAAAACGTCAGTAGTCACTTTCTTCGACGATTCTTGGGACTACCAGGTGGCATCAGGAGTCAGAGCCGAAGTGACCCTGACTTAAATTTGGACAGTTGCATAAAAAAGGTTCAGGACACGGAGAAAATAAAATTTGAGATAACTGTGGCGTTTGAGCCTACTAAGTGTAACCACATTTGTACCGAATTTGTTTTGACATAAACGCGATAGTTTTGTAGATAAATTAAATCTCATTCTAGGACCCTGGGACCGCCCATTGAAGAAGGCCGTTATGCATGGTGACGTAATCTGTCTGATATCTTAATATACTTAATTATTTCATAGTGTTCCTAGCGATGGTGCGGTGCAGTCCAATCATACACCTGCACGCTCTCCCAAACTTGGTGCTCTCGGCCCTCTCGGTTTTTGGGCCGCTTCGACGACTTTATTTTCCCGTTTCCCTTCCACGTTGAGCCTGGTCAGGCCAATGCTGTCGCCGCTCGCTTCGTGAGAGTCTTCTGTTTTCAAAGATTCTGACGTTCCTTACATCGATGGCACCGATTATAGTTATGAGCTGTTTGAAAATGATCATCTTGACGCTTATCTGCTGGCAACCAGGATAGCTATAGGTTCGACATCTGAGAAAAGGTACATGTAAGTGACGTAATGAAAAGGAGGAACATATACTACCAATACTCACGTGGCGGCTCTGCCCACTTTTACGCCGCAACGTCATCGCAAACTTGACAACTGTCACCCGTTTGAGCGACGGCAGGAGCCAACCCCCGACGAGTGGAAGGAGCTACGCATTTCCCGAGGCGTCCCTATGCGTGGGACACGGGGTGTTGGGACGAAGCGAATTTCTGGGAACTTTGGGTACGGCGGGGAGCCGAGCCAGGGTAGGAACTCATGTAGAAGCCGGAATCGCGAAGGACCAGTGAGCAGGAGGGGTGCCTCTTATATAACTCGTTATATATACATATGGACAGGTTACATCAATTCAAGATCCCGTTCGAGAACACTGTCGAGAACACTGTCAAGAACACACATTAGCAGCGGCCTGCTGCTCATTTTATCTCACATTTCCCCACATCCCTAGTAGGGAATCGCCAGGGTTCAGACCTTCTCCAAGACTGTGGGGCCAGTGTCCCTAACATTCAGGTATGCCCTTCCCCTCTCTCTCACACTGCCACACGCGACACACACACGGAAGGGCCAGACATCTTTGGCCGCGGTGTCGCCGGTCAATGTCGGCGGACAATGGTGCCATCGAAGTCGAGGAAGGCGGAAGACATCCATCACTGCAGGCGTCATGGCTTCCGTGTGTTATGGGATAATCCCATGGGTGATCTAAGCTGGGGAAATTGAGAAAAGCCCCCTCCTTTGTCAAGGACGTCCCAGGGCTGTCGGGTCGCCGTGAGTCGAGGTCAGACAGAAGCAAGGAGAGGGGCCGGACGGCAAAGTCGGCACTGGCGTGGGTCAACCCGATGACCCTTTGGAGAAGGTCACGTCGTCCCCGTGTACCAAGGTGCGTTGGCGACTCCTAGGCGCCTCTCGCTTTGTCTCCGGGTGCAGCAGACCGTAGCCACCTGGCGACAATGCTCCAGGGCGTTCACCCGTGCCGGTCGGTTTGGAATGGCAAGGTCGTCTCCTGGGGCCTTTCGCAACAGGGGTAGGATTTACTACGACGCGGGTTAGCAGTTTCTGCGTATAGTAAAGGAACGGCAACAGATCCTTGCGTCGCTCGCCGTCGCATCTGTTCTATTACAGGTAAAAGTATTGAAAAACAATAAAAACCTGTTGGGCGTTGTGGGAAAAAAAACCGCTTTTTTGTGTCCTTTTGCAATACATTCAACGGTTAATTGAAGAGAAAGTTGTTTCAATATTAGAAGGAATGCAGGATGCGCGCTTCGCGCCTTTAATTAAAGCAACATGTCGGAGCAAGCCAGAATCGCGGAGTTGATGGCTGCCAAGGAGGTTATAAGTACTAGGAGGGGGCACGTTGCAATATTGGTGAAGCCTAGTCATAAAAAGTTTAAACGATATTGTGCCCAACGTGACCGCAGATCTCTCTGGCGGTTGGTGCGCGTGATATGTCACGGGCGAGATGGATGGTTGATTGTAGAAGGATTCCTTGCAGGCTTGCGCGCGCTCCGTCCGGTAGGTTTTATCAGATCGAAGGCTAGACGAAGGCTAGCTACGGTCACGTGTTGGGATGATAAGTGAGGAGAGTAAGGAGGAAAATGAGAAAGAGATGAGGCGTCAAGGGAGCATGGCTTGTGGAGGCTACGCGGCTGACGTCATGTCCTCTCCTACCTTCTATCCTTCTTGATGGCTGCACATAAAGAGCTCCAGTTACCAGCGCTTCGTGGTCCCGGCGCGTAATGAAGGCGCGGAAACAAGCAGACGACGTGGACAAAGACGCCTGCTTGCTCTGTTGAACCCAAGAAACTTTCGGTTGATATAACTTACTCTGAGACCGGGAAGAAACAAGATACGTGACAGGGATGCGGTCAACGCAGGGCGTATCCAAAAACAGCTGTGTTGTCGGGAGACGTGCCATTCTTTTCCTTCCCTGCCTCAGATCAAGGTATGTCCACTTTTCACGAGCTCGCCTGCGCGCTCACTTTTTTTGAGACCTACAGTGTTGTCATAACTTGAAACAGAAACTACTTTCATCTTGTCTGGAATACCTCAGTAGCAAACTTCGCCATGTCTTTTTTGTATATGCTGTAAACGACCTACTTTTGGGGAATCACCTCCAATTCGCAAAAAATAGGTACCGCGTACGATTCCGGTAAGATGTCAACACATTGGAATCTATATTGAGACCCCACCGCGTCGCGAAAATTAGAACCCACGAATTATTCCAAAACTTCAGCTTTAACTAGCTCGCGAAATGTTGAGCCCGCGAAAAATAGGTCGCTTACAGTATATTATTGTCTAGCTGCAATCTGGTCTCAAATATGGCAGGCCCTCGTGTATATTAACAGATATGTTACGAAATACAACCTAGAGGTAGTGTGCTACAAATCGTGTTCAAATAAGAGATCAATGTTTGACATGACATTTGATTTAAGAATCTGCAAGTGTTTACATTGTGCTATGCTAGAGTGTTCATTTTTACTTTCGAAAATAAAATATTGCAAAACCTGTTTTCATATCATTTTACGCTTTCCAGTTACGATTTCGCATTCTAAAAATAAAGCCCTTTCAAAAATAAACTAGCTGTGCAACACAACCTAAACACTGATACTCTACGTGAAAAAGGACACATACACCGAAACGTCTCAAACACAGCTGAAAGTTTTATTTTCCAAGAAGTGCTTAAATAGGCACCATGACAAAAAGTAAGGGGGAGAGAGAAACCTGCAATGTCTTGAGAGATCCTGACACAAGTCCGAATTCTAACATCAAGAGGCACACCTGAGTGATGTAGTCATTGTTGCAACTAACGTCGGATAAACCTCTGTTGGCGTTAGGCGAACAGAGAGTAGAAGCAGAAAAGAAAGAAGTCTGCTAAGCTGCCCCGGCACGTGCGTACGAAAAGCGGGGAAAAGAAAAAGAAGAACGACGACGACGATGAACGTGAACGATTGAACGTCTTGACCTGCAAGCTTTTGAATGTCGATGTATTATTCTCAGCGGTGTAAATATCAAAGTGTTGCTCGTTGTGTGACAATGGAACGATTACTGTGACGACCCGCAGCGACTGCAACAGACATTTGGTGCCGAAACCCAGGACTGACATCGCTGCGGATACTTCGAAGCTGGAACGTGAGTGACTCTTCACGTACAATGGAAGTCCTCAAGAAAAAGCGCAAGGCCATCCGGTCACAGGTAACTCGACTGGTGAACGACGCGGAAGGGTTGCTAAGGGCCCCAGGACCGAACGTAGCTGAGCTAGAGATGCTCATCGATCGTCTGACACTAGCTCAGGGCCAACTTAACAACGTCGACTCCGCCATCGAACCGCTTGTTTCGGAACAAGACGGAGATGCTGATTTCGCGCAAGTCGTCGAGTACGCAGACAAGATTGTCATATACTTAACCAAGCTGAAGAGCCAGTTAAGGCGCTCGACGGGAACGGGGCATTCCGCCAGTGCCAGTCAGTTGAACGAAAACGGAGACAGACTGGCAGCATCAACATCAATGAAGGTCAGACTTCCAAAGCTGGAACTGATAAAGTTCAACGGACACCTGAAAAACTGGCTGCCTTTCTGGAACCAGTTTGATGCCGCAATTCACCAGAAACCTGACTTGACACCGTGCGACAAGTTTAACTACTTAAATGCGGCACTGACAGGGGATGGAGCGGCAGCCATTGATGGACTTCAGCCCACAGCAGGGTGCTACGCGGACGCCATCGATCTCCTACAGCGGCGCTTCGGGAATCAAGAAGCGCTAATCCAGGATCACATGGAAAGCCTCGTGGACATACAACGTGTTCCACCTCAGCGCAACGTCAAAATCCTGCGGCGATTGTATGATAGCCTGCAAGCTCGCGTCCGGGGTCTCAAGGCACTGGGCGTGAGCGAAGAATCCTACTGTTCAATGCTTTACCCGGTGCTCCTTCGAGCGCTCCCAAGAGAAATGACCATCGAATACCACCGAAAGACACTGCAGGGGGAAGCCGAGAGTGCCACCGCCAGTAGATCTGTACCAGCGTCACAGACAAGTTTAGGACCTAATACAGATCGCACACATCTGAGAGCGCTTTGGACTCTCCCCGAGGTTCTGCACATCGAGGTGGAGAGTCAGGAAAAGGCATCTAAAGAACGGCCAGAGGACACTGGTGGTAAATCTACACCCCATTTCACCAAACGCGAGGCGCAGAAGAAGTCTACAGATCCCGACATGCCACGAACCTTTACTGCTACGGCTCTGCATGGTGTTGTGGAAGGTCTCGAAATGCTTCTTCTGCAAATCAAAAAAGCATGGAACACCCGACTGCAACTCAAGGATAACGCTAGCTGAAAAGAAGCGCAGGCTACAAAACGCCCAGAGATGCTTCCGGTGCACGAAAGTGGGGCACATGGCAAGGATGTGTCGAGGTACACCCTGCCGCAACAGGTGCCGAGGCAGACATACCTCCAGCATGTGCGACCCAGATTATACTCCGAGACGATCTGCCGACAGATTGAACGCACAGCAAAAGAAAGACGAAGCACCAGTTAGCCTACATGTAAACGAGGAAAACGAGCCGACAGTACTCTTACAAACGGTTACTGCGTGGGTGGAAGGCAAAAACAGGAAAAAGCGAGCTCGGATTCTCTTTTACAGTGGTAGCCAGCGCTCCTTCATCACGGAAGAGCTATCGAGGAGTCTCGGCTGCAAACTGCTCGAGACCGAGATCCTGACTGTCGGAGTGTTCGGAGGCAATAATAGGGAACGAACGTACCGCAGAGTTCAAGTGATTCTGCGCAACCAACACAGTGGCAAGAAACACATGATCGACGCCCTCGAGACACATTCCATCTCCGAGCAAGAACTCCCTAGCCCTGAGAAGGACGTTATTGGAAAAATGGAAGAACTCGGGCTTACTTCGGGTGACGACCTGAACGAAATGGACTGTGGCGGTGTAGCGATACTACTGGGATCGGAACATTACTGGGAATGTAGAACAGAAAGGATCCAACGACTGAGCAAGAGCCTCACCGCAGTGGAAACCGCCTTTGGCTGGGCAATACATGGATCCACACAGTTGATTTCCGATACTGTCAGCTGTTCCCAGGTAATAATGCTCATATATGCTGTAGACGAACACGAGCCACCCATCTTGAGGAGAATCTGGGAGTTTGAAAGTGTAGGAGTACTCGAAGAGGTGGACCGAGATCAGTCAGATAATGACATCATGCGACGCTTTGAAACAAGCATCACCAAGACGAAGGGAAGGTACGGGGTTGGCCTCACTTGGAAAACAGACGTGCACCTAGAATGCAACCGAGATGTGGCATGGAAGCGCCTCGAAAGTCTACAAAGGAAGCTAAGCAAAAACCCAGACCTCATGCGAAGGTATGACCAGGCTATCCGGCTGTACGCAGATAACGGGATGGCCGAGAAGGTTGAACAGATAAACGGTCCCGAAGGACGTGCTTATTATATGCCACACCAAGCTGTTCTACGAGAGGGTAGCAGCACGACAAAAATGAGGATCGTGTTCGATGCCTCTTCGCACGGACCGAATTCCAGATTATTGAACGACAACCTTGAAGGCGGTTCGAACCTGAATCCAGACCTGGCGGCCCTAATTCTGAGGTTTAGGCAACATCGGGTAGCACTAATTGCAGACGTCGAGAAAGCCTTCCTTCAGATCGGTGTACACGAGGAGGACCGCAACGCCTTGCGGTTTCTCTGGTATAAAGAGCCGCCTCACCCAGACCAAACTACCCCAGAAGCCGCGTCTGGCGTATGACAAGGGTAACCTTCGGTACCACATGCAGTCCGTTCCTATTGGGAGCAACTCTACAGCACCATTACAAAGTTATGGAAAGCGAGTTCACACAAACAGCAGACAAACTGAAAAAATCAGTATATGTGGACGACCTCTTGACCGGCACAGAAAGTGAGGAGGCGGCCCAGAAGTTCTACACCGAGGCGACCAAAATATTCGGGGCAGCTGGGATGAAGCTTCGTAAGTGAGGGCCCAACAGCGCGGTCCTAAAGAAAATGCTGGAGGACAACGTATCCGAAGAGAGAGTCCTTGCACAGCTGACGGGAGTGGTGAAAGTGCTGAATATAACCTGGGAGTCGAACGAAGAGAAACTGTCTTTCACAACAGAACAGGTGGTCGAGTTTACAAGCCAACGCAAAAAACCAAGCGATTCGTGCTCCAGACCACGGCGCGACTCTACGACCCACTCGGTTTCCTCTCTCCTTTCGTGACCCGAGCCAAGATTTTGTTTCAAGAGATCTGGAAGCGGAACCTGCGTTGGGATGATGCACTGCCGGGTGAACTGATGGGAGACTGGGAGAGCTGGTGCGACGAGCTCACCAACCTGGGTCAGATCAGCGTGCCCAGGTACTACGACAGCGGACTGAGCAACATAATCATACACAGAGCGTTGCATGTGTTCTCGGACGCCAGCTCTTCCGCCTACGGATCGATTATTTTTCTGTGTTCAACTGACGACAGCGGAACGAAGGAGGCGGCAATATTGCTCGCTAAGTGCCGCGTCGCCCCCTGAAGGAAATTTCCTTGGGGAGACTGGAGCTCATGGCAAGCTTGATCGGATCGAGACTACTGAGGTACGTCAAGACATGCCTCAAAATCCAGGTGGACGAAGTTCACTTTTGGACGGACTCGATGATCACTTTGCACTGCATAAGAGGAGAGGCCTCCAGATGGAAAACGGTTGTCAAGAACCGAGTACTGGAGATACAAGGAAACTCAGGGGACGCAAAGTGGCACCACTGCCCGGGTAAGGAAAATCCCGAAGATTTGATGACCCGAGGGCTGAAAGTTGATCGACTGCTTTCTGCTTCACTCTGGAGGACCGGACCAACTTGGTTACAGCTTCCAGCAACCGAATGGCCCGAAGAAACTGTTGGGGTGCTTTCCCACGACAAGCTCAAGGAGAAAGCTTCGAAAGCTGTAGTCACGCTAGTGCCTGCAGACACGTCCGTGGAGTTCATGGACATCTCGAGATTCAGTTCGGCTGCGAGACTGCACCGAACAACAGCCTGGGTTCTTCGGTTTGTCCCATAACCTTCGATCACCAATCAAAACTACTGGATCGCTGAGCGCTGAGGAGATCCAAGCAGCACAAACCGTCTGGATAAAGAAGGCACAAAGCTCGACGTTTGCCTCCGAGATTAGTTGTGCAGCTGAAAAAAAAAGTGAAAGCCGTTTACAACTCCCTGTAACACCGAATTAGAGCGCAGCTCTTGAGGAGGAGGAGGGAAGGGTACTGGGGGGGTGAAGTGACCTGGGGTAGGGGGTCACGTGACGATGCCGATGATGTCATCAGTGACGTAACTGATGACGTCATCAGTGACGATGACGGTGCGGACTCCGATGACGTCATCAGCGATGATGACGATGCGGATGTCGGTGACGTCATCAGTGACGTCACTGATGACGTCATCTGTGATGATGACGATGACGATGCAGATGCCCCCCGAAGTCACGTGACACCCCCAGGTCACGTGACTTCGGGGGGCGGGTCACGTGACCTCGGGGGGTCACGTGACTGAGTGTCACGTGATCTTGGGGGTCACGTGACCCTGGGGGAGGGGTCACGTGACCTTGGGGTGACCTTGGGGGTCGCGTGACCTTGGGATGACCTTGGGGGGCCACGTGATTTTGGGATGACCTTGGTTACGCCGACGCCGACGCCGCTCAAGCCGGGAACGGGCCCCTAAGAGCTGCGCTCTAAAAGCAGCGCCGCCTGGTTAAGCCTTGCGAAATTTCCAGACATCCGTCGACCAAGAGGGAGTGCTCCGAATTAAAGGCCGTATCCGATCAGCAAACCTTTCTAGGGATGAACGTGAACCCATCGTGCTGCCCAACGAGCACCGGTATTCTACCTTGCTGACCATCGAAGCTCACCGAAAGATGATGCACGGGGGGGCCACGTGACACTCTCACGCAGCTTCGCGAGAGATACTGGATCATACGCGGAAGACAATTGGTGAAGAAGGTGGTGCATGCTTGCGTTACCTGCCAGAGGTTCAGTGCCACTCCTGCCAGTGCTCCAACGGGACCTTTGCCGGGTACAAGAACCACGCAGGCTGATCCCTTTGAGGTAGTTGGCATAGACTTTGCGGGGCCGATGTACGTGCGAGAAGATGAACTCACGCATAAGTCATACATTGCCTTGTTTACCTGTGCCGTCGCGCGCGCGGTGCACTTGGAGCTCGTGTCGGACGTTTCGACAAAAAGCTTCTTGCTTGCGTTCCGAAGGTTCGTGTCGCGAAGGGGTTTGTGTCGCACCGCGTACTCGGACAATGCGCTGTCCTTCAAGAGGGCGTCCAAAGACTTGGCCGAACTCTGGAAGACGCTCCGACATCCAGAGGTGGTAGACCATTTCGCCAACGCGAATATTGAGTGGCGCTATATTGTTGAGCGGGCACCATGGTGGGGAGGCTTCTACGAGCGACTCGTCCGATCGGTGAAAGTTGGGCTCAGGAAAGTGATCGGTAAAATCTGTTTGGACTCGGAAGAGTTACATACAGTTCTGTGCGAAATTGAAGCCGTAGTGAATTCACGGCCTCTCACATTTGTCTACAATGAGATCGCCGAGGGCGAGTCGCTCACTCCTGCAAGCTTCCTCACGGGACGAAGGCTGACGGCGCTTCCGGTGGCGGAGAAAAAAGACTTCGCTTCGTCACCTGAGGTGCTCCGCCAGCTTTGGAGACGCAGAAAGGAGGTTCTTAACAAATTTCGGGAGACGTGGCGATCGGAGTATCTAAGAGAGCTCCGATCCGCCTATGAAAGCAAGCAACGGAAATCCACCCCCATTGAGGTTGGACAGCTTGTCCTGCTTAAGGAGCAGCTTCCACGTTTGCTGTGGAAGATGCACAGGGTTGAAGAAGTGTTTTTGGGTCAGGATGGAAAGATTCGTTTATGTGTCGTACGTTTAAACAGGGGATTGTTGCTGAAATGACCGGTACAATTGCTTTATCCAATAGAAGTAACTGAAATTTAGAATGGGTTCGAACCCATTCGGTGGGGAGTGTGTTGCAACTAACGTCGGATAAACCTCTGTTGGCGTTAGATGAACAGGGAGTAGAAGCAGAAAAAAAAGAAGTCTGCTAAGCTGCCCCGGCACGTGCGTACGAAAAGCGGGGAAAAGAATAAGAAGAACGACGATGAACGTGAACGATTGAACGTTTTGACCTTGCAAGCTTTCGAATGTCGATGTATTATTCTCAGCGGTGTAAATATTAAAGTGTTGCTCGTTGTGTGACAATGGAACGATTACTGTGACGACCCGCAGCGACTGCAACAGTCATAATACAGAAGGTAATAACGG